CTCAGGATGCAATGTCACACATAGGCCTAGTTCAGATAGGTTGATGCTTTCAAAAACTTAGAAGACAATCTGATAACTATAAGGTGTCTCCCCCACCTGAAATTCCTCCACCAACTATATGTATGTACAGTCTACAGGGCCTTAGCAATTGAACTTTGATTGCATACTCATTGCTTATTATGAAATATTTCACTTTTTAAATTCCCTACTAGTAAGTATTTCCTCCCATTGGATTACCACTCTAAAGATTATTTGAGGGGTACAGCTTGGGGTCTGACCGTATTCTCATTTCAACTTTTGGAAAGCCACACCTCAGAAGCCCATTTTGGATTTACCCTGAACATCAAATTGGTCCTGCTTAGGGAACTGCTCCTCAATGTGTGACTTAAGAGATTCCTTTGGTCTCAGAATCAGACAACAGAATACTGTAACAAAATATTTTAGATTCAAAAATAGCAGTGCAATTGCATGAGATATAGCGCATCCAAAACAGATCTGAACAAGGCTTTTGTGACCTCATCAGGAATACACCCCTGAGTAGTGTCTATGAATCTCACTCTGTTAAAGTGTATTAGCATATCTATGCAATGGAAAGCTAACCTGTACTTTTGATTGTAGTACTTTGTAAGCCTCAATGGCATTTTTCCCTTAACAGATTTTTTTTAAAGATGAAATAATTCTGGCAAGTGCAAAAAGCAATAACTGTGGAATCTTTATTCTTCTTGCCATTTGTCTCTTCATAACTCCTCCTCCTCCTCCAAGAAGAAAAAGAGGGCTAACAATATGAAAAAACAGCTAAAATGTATAATTTTGAACGTATAGATTGCAGGATGGGAAATCTATAAGCATCCACTTACCTTGCAAATATTCCACTCTAGACAATCTTTTGCATTAAAATTCCCTAGTGGCAGGATGAAAGAGTTGCACAACTGAATATAATATAGGTTAAGTTTCAGTCTCAGGCTTTCCAGATATTGGCATCTATAAACATGCACCTTTTTTCCAGAAATGAAAAAGTGGCGATCAGATCAGGTTGCCCAAGACAATTTCTGTTGCTGACAAAGCTAAAGAAATATAGTGGAAGCCAAATGCTGAAATATAAGCAGATCTGTACAAGCCTTTAATATGAAATGGATTCTTAAGGCCTGTAATTCTCCTTCAAGAATCAGTAGGAACCTAAGAACAAACAACTTGGTAAAGCAATCAATATGCTCAGATTGATATTTAGGGCATGATGAGGTATATAAACAGCAATCTGGGCCATATGTCAGAACAAATAACCACTGTACCATATCAGCAGAGGGTTAGATACTAGAGTCATCTCAATTTGCCACACTGTCAAGATTAGTTTCTGTATGCACAGAAATAAAAGTAAATAAAAATCCAAACCTTAAGTTTGGATTTGGTGAACTCAATAGGAGTTCTGTAGCTGATTGTTCCTTCTTGCAAAAGTATGCAAATACAAACCAGTAATTATTGATGTTTGTTATGCTTTAAGGTTATTACAAAATAGTACTGAAATCACTAATGAGTTATAAGTTTGCAATTAAAATGAAAAATACACTATCATATTAAAATAAAACAAATTATCAATAACTTATTGTGTTATTAATTTTTCTTAAGATTGTTTATCTCTTAAAATAAAATGTTTAACTGGATATTTTATTACTTCAAAGAGCCTCTTTCCCAAGTCAGGTGATTGAAAATTCTGATTTAAAAATACACAGAACCAAACAAATTATCCAGTTCATATTGCATAGCTAAGTTGTGCTTTGAAATAGAATTAAAAATAGTTACTTGTTCTCACCTAGTTCAAGAATCATGGATGCAATATCTTCACCAGTGGCATACATTTCTATCAGAACTGATGTTCACAGTAGAGAATCTATTAGCATTTGCCTGGAACATGCAACTTGAATAGACATACCTAAAGGACTTGCAAACCTACTTTAACATTCCAGTTCCTAAAAAGAAGAAAGGCCTATCTAAGTTGTTTGGAGGTAACCAGCCCTCAGATATGCCATGGCTGTATGCATTAAGCTTTTCTGGTTGATTATCAGTGGCAGATCTTATTAGGAAAAAGAAGGCACAGTTGTTTCAAAAGGCCCCATACTTAATACCGGTATGTACAAATAAATAATGATCTCAAGTTACTGCAAGGGCCTCTCTATTTCAGAAGTGACTTCTTGTGAAGGCTTCTCAACTGATGTAGTTATTGCTTCTATTGTAAGGGGGCCAGGAAAGGTTTGTGCTGTGTAATGCATTGTTGTTGTTAGATTGACATTGTTACCATGGTCACCTTGAGAGCTAAAAGTGGGGCAGGATCTAGTCCTTGCATAGTTTTGCTGACCAACTTTGTTACACACCACTTCGCTCACAGTGCTGACAGAAGCATCTTCCCACATCTGCCTTTGCTGCTTCTTTTCTTTATACTTAATGGTGTACCAAGCGAGGAAAATGAATAGGAAGCCAACAAATTTGAGACCGGCTGCTAGACCAAAGTACACAAAACGAAATGACGTCACATCATATTCCCAACAGGAGCCTTGCACACCACATTCCTGTTGCCACAGCATGCAGGTAGTATCAATGACGGCACCAAAATAAATTGGGGTAGGAATGTATGCTGCAATAAATAGGAAAAGTGAAGTCAATCAAGTCCTATATCAAAACAGTTATTGGGAAATTTCTTGAGAAAGTACGCAGTAAAGCTAAACCTATATTTCTATTTTTAAGCAGTTTTGGCTAGGATATACATCACATTACATACCAATAGAATGAAAGAAAATTCTTTCATTGATGCTTATAAATGACTTGGTTTAGAAGCGTTAATTTTACCGTTGCTGTAACCTCATTGCGGCAGGCACAACAGCTCTGCTTAGACTGCGCTCCCTTATTTGGGCAGGCTGTCTGACAGGCTTTTCGTTCCGGGAGCCTTCCGATTTCACTCTGAGCGGTCTCTCCGTCAGCTGTTCGTTGCGAACAAACTGCTCGGCATTAAAGTCAAATAAAGGTGCCTTCTGTGCTCGGACTGCTTTGCACTCCCTTATATGGGCAGGCTGCTCAGCCGGCAAAAGGTGCCTCTTCAATGCCCCCAAAACCCTTTTCCAGGTTTTTGGGAGAGATCTCTGCAAACTCCGGACTGTGGAAGTCTATTTGCTTGAAAAAGCCGATGGAATAGAGGCTTGTGATCGTAGTAAGCACCGAGGCTTTTGAAAAGCCTAAGGTGCTATTAGTCCCTTAAGGACTGTTGTGTGGTTAGTCCAAAATAACAAATCTAAATTAAAAATACTAAATCTAAATTTAAAACACCCCTCTATGGATAAAGTATAGAAGACCAAGATTATAAACGTCTATCTCTGCCGAGACTGAATAGAAGAACTGGAGACGGTGGCCCGGAAGGGGTGTGTCTTCAGTTTTTCTATTCAGTCTATAGCCAAATAGAGCTGAATACATCCCATGCATGGATCCTGTCGAAACCATTCTGGAGAATACTTAAATTTTAACTCTTTCCAATAGTACATTTTTATTTATTTTGAATTATACCCAATGGAACGCTAGATATGTCTCATATCGATTGATGGCAGACAATTGTAAGAATTCTGTGAACTAATTAAGAAAAGAGCAGAGCCATGATACTTGTGCGCAGATCAACTGTTTGGAGACTCATTGAGTCATGCAGCAGAGCAATGGAGCCAGCAAAGCTAGCTGATAATATTTATCACCACACCATTACACATACCCCATATAAATCTCAATCCAATAATATCACTCTTAAAATATTAGAATTTCAAATGTTAAATTTTAATAATATATTGTAAGTCAACTTTAATAAAATTATTCAAGTTTGGGAGAATAAATATCAAGGTAAATTGGTTAGTCATGTTCCATACATCCAGAATAAGACCCTACTTCAAGTTACTTGAAGTTTATTCCAAACAACAGTTACCAAATAACCTCAGCCCTTAGTAGCTGTGCTTGATTTCATAGTAAGTACTATAGCTAGTATTCTCACCAACCTTGTGCCTGACCCTGTCCCTGTTTCTTTTGCAGAACCATATATTGAATTTTAGCTAACCATAGTATTTGGTGTTATAAACAAAAACTGTAGAAGTGCAAGGTTGTGTGCGTGAATTTAAAAAATTCTGAGAATCAAAATAAAAGAGGGCTCCAATAAAATGCCTTTTAATTAAGACCCCGTCAAAAGTGTCAGATCATATGCTGGGAAAGTTTTTTTTTTTTAAAGTGCTATTTTCAGCTGCCTTGTTGATTCCTCTACCAATTCACATAATACTTCAAGACGGTCAATGTAACCAACTGAGGCACTATATCTACCTCTGCACTTACCAAGAGTTCTTAATAAAACAAATTGCATGCCAAGGGCAAAAGGCCTCTCACCATTTTCCACAGACCTAAAAAAAGATACAATATATTTTAAAGTCTTGAATGGAGAAAATGGTAGGAATGACTACTTAACTGTTACTTGACAAAACTCTTCTCCTTAGCCAATCCCAGGAGAGTGACCCAATGCTAGTGACCAACCATGTAGGAGCCAGGTGTTTAGTGGAATCAAAATCAGAAGTTCAGAGAAATAAAAACTTCTTCCAGGAAGCAAAGTGAGAAATTTTCGTTACATTTCTGATGACAAGTAGATTCAATCAAATCTAGATTGACAAGTAGATTTATTTTCAAAGTAAATTGTCGTCCCATTCTCCTCAGCATCCTGCAACCTACCCAATAACAAATACCCTCTCAGACACAATTACCCTCTCTGAATTCTACAATTCTAAAACATGTTGATTCATACATTAATTATGTATCATCAATTCAACAAAATGAAAAGATTAAGTGAAATCAAACTTTGTAAATCCATCTATCTCTAGAAGTAACCTAATTCATCATCAGAAAAGTAAAGGTGAATAATGTTTTGTTGAAGATGGCAGAGAAACTCAATTATAATAAAGCATGCTATCCTAGTAGACAAGAAATGATCCAGGCAACTTCTCACCTAAGAGTAACTATGATTGCTGATGGTTGGGCACATGCTGTGATAAGCGTTACTATGAAGAGAAAAATGAGGAAAGGGATGAGTGTGTTGCAGGTTCTATCACACTTTCCTGATACAGCATAGCCATTCTCATTGAGATATGTTTTGACGATCACCACTCTTAGCTGGCTACGCTGTCCAACTGTGGGTGGTGTGATAACTTGTCGGCTTTGGACACAGGCACAATCTGTGTAATTTCTTATCTGTAAAAGATTTAAAACGTGTAAAACAATCATGATTTCTTATTTGTATTTTTATCAAGAATGCTTGCATCTGGTACATATGCTTCATCTTAGTTATGACTCTAAGTAAAGCACGACACATCCAGGACAGTTACAGCAAGATAAGAAATGCTCTTCATTTGAAGGCAAAATATTTTATAGAGAAAAAAAAATGTAACAGTATTTTAAAATATCGGAATTAAATAAGTGTTTTTTCTATCAGGGCAACCTGGTCTACCCATATATGGGACAAAGCATACTGCTAGAATTAGATTTATTTCTTCGTCGGTAAATATAAATTTAACATCTGAAATGAATGTTTTAAAAGGAAGATTTAAGAAAGCCCTTCCTGTTCTAAAGTTATAGTGTTGTTGTTTTTGTAAATAGCAAGCTAAATATTTCTTAATTAATTAAATGCAAAAAATTTTAAAATGTTAATTACTTAATCTTGAGGAAGTTCACAAAAACAAGGAAAATGCTTACATGAAAGGAGAATACAGTATCAAAATTCTATGTCTAACAGTCCTAGATTGGCTTTAGGCTAAGGCTGAACAGATAAAACCAAGGGCATCAAAGGTTAGGGGGCACTAACACTCCTTCTCCTTCTGAATCATTATAAAAATACAAATCTTTGCATTAGTGAGGAAGTGGCATTGCCTAGAGGTGGCATCATCTGTTCATGTGGCCTAGAGGTCCCAGCCCACACAGTGAAATGCTTAGACAAATAATTAGGCTTTAAATGATTATAAAGCGCAAGGAGGAACAGGGCACGAACAAACATAAAGATCTACAGATTGGGCAACTCCCCAGATGATTTGTGCTCCTTTTACTTCATACAGGATAGGGATCCTCCTAACTATAGATTAAAGAGTACAGAAAACTTGATGAAATATTTCCATTCCTTCTGATGGAAAAATTGTTGGTTTTAATAATTTTAATAATTTAATTAAAATCTTCTGATTCTAGCAGATAATCTGCTGAACATGCTGATCATAGCTGATCATTTATTAAATTTATTCGCTACCCATCTTGTTTTGAAGTGACTCTGGGCAACTTATAGCATTAAAACTATAAGATAAATATTTATAAAATGATAAAAATGGAATTACAATCAAAAATGAAATTAGTTAAGATATGGGGAGCAGGATTTTGGATGGAATTATCTCTTAATTCATCAACCACTTCTAGTGAGATGCTCACCTGTTGTGGTCCCAAGCCATCTGGCAGAGCCAGGTCTTCAGGCCCTTCTGGAAGATCAGAAAGAGGGAGACTATCTCACCTCATAGGGTAAGATGTTCCAAAGGACAAAAGCCATGGTAGAGAAGGCCTTCTACTGGACCTTGCCAACTGAAATTCCTTGATTGACAGGGCCCGCAGCATGCCTGCTCTGCCAGTGCAGTATTGAAATTACCATTTCATCGAACTATGCAAAAATAATCTCCACAAAGTTATCTTTATCGCACCTGAGGAGAAGACAAGGAGAACCTAGAATTCTGCAAGCCTTTCTAATTTTGAGGAAGGGAGTTTTACATGCTGAGAAGTTTAAACTTAGACTACATAATCCATGGGAAGGTGGCAAGTTCAGGGCATATACGGATTTTTGTGGAATTTGCAAGGGACTAATCAATAGGGGATGACTATTGAATGACTATGACATTCAGGCCCTATAGCCACAACGTCTTTGTCCTATAACTGAACTCAATAGTCACCTTCTTGTAGTCTGGGCATGTACTCACAGCCAATGAAATTATAATGCATTTCATAAAGTCAGTTAAAGTTATATGTGCCTTGGGTTTTTGCCTTACCAGGAAACTAAGATTGGTGAATGTGTATAGTGCTCACATTTATATCCTGAGATCTAAGTCTCACACCAAAAGACAGTAGATGATGATCTAACAGTAGAAGTAGCTGCCTAAAAACTCTTACACACGCCTCTGTCAGAAACAGATAAATAAATAAATAAAAACATCAACAGTTGCAAATCATTATGACACTTACTTTGGCTATCCCACATATATGAATGCTTCATAATGTTTGATGCCTAAGATTTTTTATATGGCATTTTACTACGAAAACAGCTTTGTGATACTGATAATAGTAGTTATCTTTGGTGCATATATTGCTTTTCTAACAGCAACAAAATTCTGTTTAATTGCTTGTAGACATACTCACCCCTGTGCTGTAATTTCCACTGCTAATGCAACCAGCAAGACAAGGGTTAAAATATGTGATCCCATCTGATCCACACACAGGTTTATATTCATGGATTTTGCAGCCACAATTAACATTACAGCTTCCAGTCAGATTCCTATGTGCCATGGTAAGAGTAGGTCTAAAAAAAAAGATGGGGGTATGGTTTATAATATTTATTCATTGCAGAAGATAAATTGATGCCAACAGATACAATTTCTAAGAATTATATTTTCCAATATCATATACTTATAAAGATACAAATCAAGCTATGCTTTTTAGGCAGACAGATCCACAAGTGATGTGATGCTAGAGAAACACCAGCGGTTTTTTTGCACTAAGTCCCCAAACCATCATTTCTGCAGCTCCTAGAATTCTATCTAACCACATTATAAATTTTAGTTTTCTAACATTGTAAAAGTAGGAAATACATAAAAACTATAATCTTAGCCTAGATAGATTAAGCAATCCTTTTAAAAGAAATCAGTCTGGTAGAGTGGTGAAGGCATTGGCCTAGAAGCCAGAGACTGTGAGTTCTAATTCTGTCTTAGGCATAAAAACTGGTTGGTGACTTTGGGAAAGTCATCTTCTTTAACCCCCACTCACCTCAATTGTTTTTGTGGAAAAATAGATTATTAATATATTTGTCATACTGAGTTGTATATGAAAAGGGGTATAGGATAAAAGCCTTTAAAAGTGTGTGGGGAAGGGGGAGCATCTCTTTAAAAAAAAATTCTGGCTCCTTCTATCATCCTAATCACTTGGACACTTTGTTTTATCCATTATAGTCCTTTCCCCAACCATTAAATTCAGTCGTGGTCACCATGATTTCACAGCCCTTCACTAAATATACAGAGAGACAAATGTAAACTAGACATTTTGTCTGCTGTTTATTGGAAGATCTCTATCATGCTTTTTACATTTTGATTTTATACATTCTATGAAGACTGATATTTTATTCAAAAAAATATAATGGATTATCTTAAATCTACAACTTGATGGCTCCATTATTCTGAATTATAATTTCCATCATCCCCAGCTGGCAAAATCCCAACACAATTGAATAAATTATTTGGGTAAGGTTGCCAGTATGTCAAACTTTTCTAAACCCATTGCATGTTTCAGAATACCTGAGATTTTTTAAATTATTTTTTAAATTATTTTTTAATTATTTTTGTTTAATTAGCTGAAAAACGAATATTTCCAGCTAAATGACACCAAATGTCATTACAAAAGGATCATTACAAAAACTCCCACCAAGGACAGAAAAAACAGACTAGAATTCCATACCTTATTCTATGGATGTTTGAATTTTTAAAAAAGCATTTTACAATTATTTTGATATGAACCCCAGATAATTTATATTGTATTAAATTTGGTATATTACTTCTATTAAATAATTGATAGCACTGAACATGGTATTCTTTTAAAGATTCAGTGAGTTGGCAGTAGAAGCCATGGTCTTATGTAGTTCCTTTTCTTCAGGGGCAGTTCCAGTCAGTGTTGTGGTGGGGGTGAGAGAGAGAGAAGAGAGGTTCCTAGCCCTAAACCTATTTTTCAGAATTTATTTATTTATTTGATTTGTCAATCGCTTACAAGATAATAGGTATAAGTATATACATAGTTATGAATACATGAAATGGGTACATATAAGAAAAATAAAAGAAACAATAGGACAGGGACGGTAGGCACGTTGGTGCGCTTATGCATGCCCCCTACAGACCTCTTAGGAAAGGGGTGAGGTCAATAGTAGACAGTCTAAGGTTGAAGTTTTTGGGGTTTGGGGAAGCAAACCATTATTGGCAACCAAGGAACAACGATCCTAAATAGTTATATGCTAACTTGGTAGGTAACAGGAGTAAACAATAAAAGATATTGATCGATAGGTCAATATATGGTAAAAAAGATGAATTAACAAATTTAAAAAGAAAGAACATAAAAGAAAGGATTTCGTTGAACTAAATAAAGATGGTTTGAGCTTGTTGAATGGAGTATAATACTCCCAAATTCTTACACAGAATTTAAAGTATGGATTTAATTATGAATGATTATATTAAAATTTACATCAAGGCATGAATTAGTGTCATGAATGCATGTAAAAGTAGGAATTGATAAAAATTGTTTGTTCTGCTCCAACAAATGGTGACAATAAAAGAACCAGAGATGAATTTAGGGAGGATGGGATATGATCCAGGAGAAAATATTATTCTATTAGGTGATATAAAGGATGGGTAGGAACAAGATGAATAGAGAAAAAACATGATTCAAAGCCTCAAGAATGGATGAGGATGGCAACTGTTTTGTTGACTGATTAGAAAAGAATTGCTCAGTTTCAAATATATGGTTGAAGCATTACTTTATTTATACATAGACAGAAAAAGAATGGACTCTAAAAGCATTATTGATTGACTATGAAAGACTGAAATTATCTTCCTAAAGACAAAATAAATAATCAACACAGAACTGAGAAACATGTAAAATTTGAAACGAATTTTTAGAAATAGATGATTCTTATAGCTACAGTTTGTATATGCTCTCTTATTTTGCCTAAGTAAATGAATGACAGCAATGAACTAATTGTGACTCATTTTCAGCGGGTAAACTGGTTAGTGTCAAAGCTCTTTTCTCTTTCTTGACCTGAATAAAGTTGTGCTTTGGTCATGCATCCAAACATCTACATTCACTTAGATATATTGGCTAAATGAGCTCATAAATTTATATTCTGAAAATATATTTCCTCATCACCAATTTAAAGTTCTTGAGCCAATGGTCATTACCATAATTCGCAGTATTAAGTATATATTATGAAAATAAATATTGATGTTGTATAAGAATGTAATAGCATGTGTGTGTAACAGAGGTGGGGGAGGGAGGGAAGGAGGGAGGGAGAAAAAAAGAGAGATTGATTGATTTTGGATTCATTCAACCAAATGTCTAGATCTGTTCTAAAAATACTCAGATTGGACAGAAAATAGAATACTGAAAGCACTAAATATCCTTCAAAATCCATGTCTTTATGTTTTCCAAGGTCAAGCTTTACAGATTCAAAAAGATTCAGCTGTGAAGGGTAGCAAGGAAATAGGGAAATGTTCTAATATCATATTTCTTCTATTAAAATTAGCTTATCTCACATTCAAAAGAGTATAACTTAAAAAATACTATGATCTCCAAAACAATATCCCATGAATGATGAAAATGATCCTTAGTACCCTTTCTTCAAATAAATAACTTAGAAGTGGCATATGTGTATCTAAAACATGGTATATTTTCAAATTAGGTTCTTTACATTTTGCATATAATACTTACCAGATATTGTTTATTTGAACACAGCCAGTGAATTGTTACTTCTTGTGGAGTATTTCAATCCATGATTATACAATATATTTCTTTTTTACTTACTTATTAAGGAACTTTTAAATTATTTAATGTTCTTATGAAAAAGATACTGCCTTTTATTCAGCACAAAAAGGCTGGCTTCGATGCAAAGCATAAATTATTTAGAAAGCTCAAAATATATTTACCCTGTGGTATATGGTATATTTATACCTCCTAGATTAATACTTTCACATCCAACTATGAAGAGTGTTGAAAAACATAACAGAGATACTCCACTGCAAATCATTGCTAGTTTTGCAGATTCTCTTGCACCAAGTTTCAGCTTTTTTATAATGTAACCTCCTAAGACAATACCAACACCAGCACTTGGAACAATAATCACACCTGGTTAAAGAAAAAGAAAAAGGGGAAAGTTAAAACATTTGTTGTGTTAAAATGTATAGTATGGAAATACCTTTTCTATAAGAGAAATATGCCAACTCTCTACATTTTTTATATTAAAATATTTATAATCCTACCCTGGAGAACAATTGAAACTCCCAAGCTATCTTATGAAATAGATAAATGTCATTGGTTTGGTTAGCAAGGAGTTATTTAGTGCTAAATAATTAGAAAATAAATAAACACAACTGTCATGGAATGAGTTAAGAAGCAGCTAATAACGTGAACATAATTTCTTTAAAAAAATCACAATACAACAAAAATGAAGAGGTTAAAAAATTGTAGCAATGTTAATTTAGAATAGAAATAGAAAAAAAAAATCAGCGATAAAGAGTTGCACTGAAATTACACATTAGGATTAAGATTAAGATTAAAAGGCCAGAGAAAGTACAATGCCATTGCTTATTACTGGAAACGTACTAAGACCATTTCATATTCAATAGTCCACTACTGAAAAGAATCCCTTTAGCTTAACTTAGTTGGCAATGGCACTCATATGAAGATAGGTATTTTATGAATTCAAAATTGAACAGGTATTCCTCAATTTACAACCAGGCACATTTGTGACTATTTGAAGTTACGACAGAAGCGAAAAAAGAGACTTATGTCCCAGATTCAAAGTTTTTGAGTTAGACTCTTCCACAGTCGTGTGACCGAACTTTGGGCGCTCAACATGGCCATATTTATGGCCATTTGCAGTATCCCACAATCACATGACATTTTATGGTTTAAGATTTACTGCTGTTTTTTGGCAAAAATCACATCCACAGCAAACCACTGGTTCTCTTAATGAGAGAATCATCACAACATATGACCGTCATGGTATGCTCCATTATGGTCATATGTCAAGGACTATTTGTATGTGTTTGACCTCATTATCTAATTTTTATTAAGCAAGAGATACAATGATGATTGATCAGTGTTAATTATGGAGTTTATAAACTGTAATCTGTATGAATCTTTCTTGTTTACTTATGTAAATCAAATTAGCTGGCTATTAAAAATAGTTCAGCAAGTTCACTGGTTATACTTGGAACACTTTGATAATGATATACTTAACTGCTTAACTGTTTAGCTTAATGTTGTTCTGCTCCAATACATGTACACATTTTAAGTTTTGTGGTTTTGTAAGCTTCTTGGTTGAAAATAGGACAAGCATAAAGCGCATGATTTGCTACTACATTATAAAAAATATTCAAAACCTTCAACTGAAGGACTACATCAAGCTAAATAGTATGGACAGCATCAGTTGCAACTGTACCAGATATTGGATTAGCTGTTGCTAAAATAGATTTCTGGTCTCAGCCAGTTTGGTAACACTTATTTATTTTGTGTACTGTCATAATCATCACGGACACCTGGCAATTGCAAGAATAAAAAGATCCTAAAGTATAATCAAAATATTATTAAATATATATGAAATATTCAAAGTAAGAAATTTAAAAAAAACGGAGCAATAAAAATGTTATAATTGTGTAAAGGGATCATTCATACATGTACATTGCAGTGATAAATAAAATCCATGCAGCACTGCAAAGAGAATGATAAAAAAATAACGTTTAACTCTTAGTTTTATAAGAGTGAACATTTAAAAATGCTAGGAGTGCCAGAAATCTTTTTCCCTGCTACTGTTGAATCTCATCCGTTAAAGCACAGATCATTAGCAATATCAGCTATTTGTAAATATGTAAGAACAAATCTCAGGCAATCACCAAATTTTGCAAAAATGATGCCATTTGCCATTTTAATTTGTTAGTATTAATAGTGCAGGTTGATCAAAAAGGCTGTTTGGTGGAAAACCAAACATCATAGTGCCACAAGTCCTATGTTACTAACGATAAGTGTGAGGCAGAGAATCTGTACACTTAAAACAATTAAGAACAGAATCCTGATTATTTTCCATTAACTTTCTTTTTTTGAGCTGAGGAAAATAATCCTTAAAAGATTTATTTACAGCAATATCTTACCAGTGTAGATGCTGGCATTGGAAGCTGGGATGCCAAACTGTGACTCAATGAACTTGGGAATAAAGGTAATAAAAGCAGTAACAATGGCACATTCAGCTGTGTATGACAAACTCACAAAAAGGAATGTCATGTTGCTTAAGATCCTGAAAGCTGCTCTTGGAAGTTCTATAAAAAAGACAAAAAGCAATAAAAGAAGGACAGGTAAATGTTGTCCAGAAAGGATGGGAGGCGAAGAACAATCAAGGTATCACTTGACTGTAAATAGTTGCCTTCTCAAGCCACAAAGAAGTTCTTCCCAAGAATTCCACTGGATACAAAAAACAACTGCCCTCTAGTGTGTTTTCTCAAAGCATTTTGTGAGATAGCATGTATTCCATATTCAGAAAGTTCCAGGTTCAATTATTAGCTTCCCTACTGAGAAAGATCAGGTAGCAGATAATGGCAAATATCACTGATAAAGTTGCTACAAGAAAAGATTAGTAATTGAGGCAATTCTGGACTCAGCCAAAGGCTAAAATCCTTCCTGTGCCCTAGTAGTGTACATACAACCAGATGATTGGGGGGAAAGAGACTTTGGCATAAAGATTTCTTATCACTACCCTTGCCCAACTTCCCTTTCCTTGTAGTCCCTTCCTTTACTCAAATAACAATCATATACAATAGCTATGGAGGGGAGGGACTCCTTGAAAAAAATGTATAAATTGGTGATTGCTTTGACATTCCTTCTTGTAGCAAAGCAAAATGCAACTTTCAATACCACGTTCAATAAATATTAAAAAACTTTTTTGCTTTCATAGTTCACGATAGAGAAATACCAAATGTCATTGAACCAAAGTCTTCTACTTTAAGTGCTACTTCTAAATAAAGAAATATATTTTTGTATCAGTTTTCAACAACTAAATAACAATTCTAAGAATTTAAGTTTCATCTTAATCTGATTTTTTTCAAACAGGAATTTTTTACCTTTAAGATTCTTTCCAAAGCCCATTGATGTAGGAATTTCCGGGTCTAGCTCATTTTTGCGATTCACTTTTTCTTTCACAATATCATCATCAGCTGAAACATCATCAGAGTGCATCTTTTTTTTCTTTTTCTTGTGTCGAGGTGGGAGTTTTTTGGGAAAAGCAAACATTGGAAGTATAACAAGAAGCATCACACTAGCACAAATGAGGAATCCACTCCACCTAAAATCAAAAGGTAAGAAATAACATTTACAAATAGGGTTATATTTATTACATCAAACAGTACAAGAATAGATATCACTGCCTATAAGCATACATATATGAGCCTTGATGGCACAGTGGTTAAAATGTACTACTGCAGGCTACTTCTGCTGACTGCCAACTGCCAGAAGTTCGGCAGTTTGATTCTGACTGGCTCAAGGTTGATTCAGCCTTCCATACTTCCAAGGTTGGTAAAATGAGGATCCAGATTGTTGGGGACAGTATGCTGACTCTGTAAACCGCTTAGAAAGGGCTGTAAAGCACTGTGAAGCTGTATATAAGTCTAAATGTTCTTGCTATATACACACAAAACACAAACCCTCTAGAACAGGAAGCAGAAATGTATACTTGGTGTTATTGTTTGTCCCATAAAACAATTACCATATAAGTGATTTGAATTCAAAGTTACAAGGGATATTCTATTCTATTCTATTCTATTCTATTCTATTCTATTCTATTCTA